TCTCAAGAACACTCCTGTTCAGGGATAAGTTGCCTTCATGCCTGTATGGTTTTTTTTTTGTTTGTTTGTTTTTGCATGGAGGGGCAACAATATTTATAGCCTGGTTAGGAAGTTCTCACTAACCTGTATGAAATTCGACTCGAAGTCCATGAGGTTTTTTAGCAGAGTTGAAACACGGGGGTTGACAGTGACCGACTTCTTTTGAACAGTTTTTCCTGTCCTCTTGGAGACGATCTTGCCACGGCTGGCCTTGGTCCCTCTTTCAGGGTTGATATCAAGAAAGCGCCTGAAAATGCAGTAATTTCAGATTAGCATATGATGCTTAAGGAGTTAGGGTTTAAGGTGATTTAGGTGGGAAAAGGGGGGGAACGGACAGGCGGACACAAACCTTACCTATGGATGAATTCAAGTGTACAAGCAGCCTCTTCTTGATATTGTAGATTAAAGATGTAGTACATTGAAAACAGTGCAGCAAGCCCTGTCACAAAGCTTGGTTGAATGCCCTCACATACAATATGGCTCTCAAGACTGATCACCCACTGCCCAGCAGTCACACGGTCTTTTCCACCTGAAAAATAAAATTAAAAAAATTATAACAAGTATTGTGACTTCTACAAATTACCTGTACCATTATTTGTAAAACAACATTCATTTAAAGATATTGTGTTTCATGCAATACAAATGAATCAAAACCTTGTCTCATCTGCATGTTATTGTATCGTATTGTCGTGAAAATCTTAAACCACAATGAGTTTTGTTTTACTTTGCAAGGTTATGGCCATCTTTATTCATTCTCCAGTTAGGTCATCTTTCTTAAGATTTCTACTGACAACCTAAGAACATATGAGCTAAATAAAAAAATAAAAAATAATAACTTTCTACAGGCAAAGTTGATATTGACCTAACCATAAGTGATCTCTGTTGCCACTTAGCTTATCGTGAACTCTTGGGAAAACTAGATACAAATTTGTAGGTTATCTTTGACAGCTGTTTTGTGATCAACTTCCCTTGATTATTTTATTTATTTATTTATTTTTCTATGGAATTAATTTTAAACAAAATTTTAATTTTTCCATCTGTCAAATTCTTTGATCTTTGGCTTTTTGAATGGAATTACAATAGAATGCATGTTATGCTTGACCCCCCAAAAAACCCAAAATAATCAACCAGAAGCTTTTTTGTGTGTTTTGTAGACAATTGTACACTGGTTACACTAAATACTCACTTTGGGCTGCAGAACACATTTTTTCAAAAAAATTCTTTGAGGTATGGTGACCTGTTTTCTGTCATGTCTGGTTGTATTATAATTCAAAGACTGAAAAATAAATGTAGTCACTGAAAAACAAATATAGTCATGTCAGTTAACAGTGTACTCACAGAGTAGTATCAGGCGTGGTGTTAAAGGCAGGTTGAAGGTCTTCTCAACATCAGTTACTGTGGCAGATGACTGTAAAGAACAAAGACATTTCAGTAAGAACATTAGTTCCTCAGGATGAATTCAGATGTCAACAATTCAGTTAAATATATCAGAATAAATATTATGAAAATAAATTAACAAAACTAACATCTGTGGAAAGGATGAGGCCATCTGTGCTCTCTTTGAAATGGGCCATCAGTAGCTGGACAACATGAAGTGCCACCTCAGTATCTTCATCCGGAGAAAAAGTCGCTTTGTTTGTGGATTTGCTTTGGAAGTATTCTATGATTGCTCTCCCACATTCTTCCATGGAAAGCTCAAGGAGACGCAAAACATTAAGGTCTGTTAGAAGCTGAAAATGAGCATAGATGCTCCTCTGATGGAAGAGGTATGGCCAACATATGAATACCTGACAGTGGTCATTTTGTTTGCTTTTTCAATAATTACAACACATTCTCTGTCATAACAGAGAATGTGTTGTAAACTTTGCATACAGTACAGTATGTGTTGATGCAAAAGTACCTGGAATAAAAGCACACTGGTGTCTGTGAAAACTCTCCAGGGAGGAAGACCCCCTACCACACCTGAGGATGTCCAGCTCTTTGCCGCCCTTCTGGAGTGTCCCCACCTTGGTGTACAGTGCAACAC